GAGGCAACACCGCCTACCGTTGGTAGCCGCCGCCTCAAGTAAAGACCGACGGCAACGAACTTTTCACCCAAGTGTGGGACTCCGTCGCGCCCCAAGGGATGATGTCCGGGGAGACGAAGGTACGGAGAAGTCCGTGACGTGTGTAGCTGGAGCGGGGGGCAAGGGGGGACAAGAAACAGACCGACTGATGGCGATTCCCTGAGTTTCTATCCAAGCAGAATGTTATTATAAGCAATAGTGTCCTTCGTTTGTGTCCCGTTTTCCATATGAGGATGTATCGGTATTGTGAGCAGAAAATGACGGGTGCAGTACAGCAGCAGAAAATCGCAAGCCACGTTAAGGCATTGTTTCTTCCGATAAGAGACTCGAGTCTTGTTCCAGCGACCCCACATGTCCAGCTTCACAGATGGTAGAAGATACCAAGTGTGCGATCCGGCACGCATCGACAGAACTCTACAGCATAATGCATAGCAGGCCGTCGATCGTCACGGAAAAATTCCCAACAGACTAATGTCGATACGGCTTCCGCAACATTCATGGCAAGGGCAGTGAGAGGAAGCCAAACGCATTCACAACAATCGCACCATAGAGCACCCCTTCCGAAAAAGCTGGCGATTTGCTCCACGAATGTCAAATAAGTAAGCAAACACATGAACACGGACGCGGCCTTCTTGTCTTGTCGTGAAGCGAAACACGTGTGTGTGGTGATTCGATTTCGGCAATGCGACGAGAGTTTCAACGAACCTCATGTATGCCATATATCCAAGGCACGCACTGCGGTAGCCTTGCCGTTACAATCTCCACCTCCTGCCACATCAACCTTCGACCAGTCGTGTTGGTTTCTAAGGGTTTAACACGTGCTAAACGTATGGGGTTCATGGCGGAAGGTATCAAGAACACATAGAAATGAATGCAAACACTCTCAGCACTCGATACACTCCCTCCGACCATGAGCAATCCGCGGCACCCCTGCGCCCCCCCTACCCCTACCCTTCCCCTGTCCGTGTTTCTCTTACCAACGCCGCGGGGATTTCGCCCTCGAACTCGCTCACCAGGCTGGTGGCGAAGCACTTCCAGAGACTGCCGCAGGAAAGAGGGGGTCGCGCACGACATACAACTCCGGTTGTTCGCATTTGGCGTATTTGCATCGTGCTCTTGGGTTGATGCTTGTTGGCGTCGTTATGTAGAGTACACGGACTGATAACTTATCCATCATAGCATCAAAGAAACACGTCTTGTGCTGTATAGGGCAGAGAGAGCCGACCGTACACGCAGGGTCTCACCATCACTCGACACTTGCGCCGGGAAATACTGCCACGAAGATCCTCTACACACAAACGTGTTACACTACACGGCTTTCCTCTGCTTTCACAAAATCAGGTGCACCCGAGACGCTTGACAAAACGTCATTTTCTGCTCACAATGCCGGTACATCCTCACATGGGAAACGGCACGCAATCGAAAGAATATACTGTAACTTTCCTGTTGGGACCGAAGCCTAGAGATGCAAAGTTAGTCAGTCTGTGTTTCACCCTCTCTTGCCCCCCGCTCCGGCCAAACACATCACCGCCTTCTCCGTACCTTGTCCTCCTCGTCCATCATTCCTGATGGGTGGGACGCGGGCCCACACTGGCATGTTCGACGTCGTCCGGCTCTTCTTCGGACTTGGACGAGTCTGTCCCGGTCTGGAGTAGCGAGACAGAGGCATGGTGCAGCAGCAGTAAATCGCAAGCCACACTGACGTAGCATTCCTTACGATATGAAAATCGAGCCTTGTTCCAGTAACCGCACCCCTCCCCACTCGTCCAGCCTCACAGATAGAAGATACCAAGTGTGCGATCCCCGCAAGCACCGACAGGAGTCTGAAATACTATATCAAACAACGGGGACCGTCGATCATCGTAGACACTTCCCCAACAGACCAATTATCAACACGATTTGAACACATTCATGCGACGCGCAGCAAGAGGATGCAAAACGCATTGACAACAAATAGGAACATGGAGCACCCCTTCCGAAAAAGCTGGCAATTCGCTCCACGAATGCCAAACAAGTACGCGAAAACACGGAACACGGACGTAGCCTTCTTGTTCTTGTCGTGAAGCGAAAAACGTGTGTGTGTTGATTCGATTTCCGCAATGCGACGAGAGAGTTTCAACGAACGCCATTCATTCCATCCATCCACGGCACGCACGCTAGGCTAGCCTTGCCATTACTATTTTCACCTCCTGCCAAATCAATCTTCAACCTGCTAGTCAGGCGTCTTCTTTTCTAGGCTCAAACTCCACCCCTCGCCTGGTGGTTGGCACCAACCCGTGGGCCCGTGCTCGCCCCTTGCGACCCCTTCCCGTCCAAGGCGGCAGTAGCGGAAGAGGTTCCATCGACGGTGTCAGGGTCCTCCGGCCAAGGGGCGA